GAGAGAGAGAGAGAGAGAGAAGGAGAGCAAGAAGAGTGGGAGAGAGAACGAGAGAGATCTCTGTGCGGGGGGGGGGGGGATAAACCGTGCTACACAACCACAGGCCGTGTTTTCCCTCACACACAAAGCCAAACACTAACTATAGCGCACAACTATATCGCACTAATTATAGCGGCAAAGGAAGGAAGCTGCCTGTCCGCCGCCTCTATGCGCCGGTCATGATTTGAGCGATGGCCAATTTGTGTGAATGGAGCGTCATCCGTCGTGCGGTCGCCGTAGCACGACCATCGCAATCTGCATGATGCATCTCGCTATTAGGCTCGTAAATCATGCTGGGCATGCGGCCTCCGCGGCGGCGGCCCCCCACGTTGTATCTACATCCCATCCCTCCGCTGTTGCAGCCCCTCCGTCGTAACTACACCTCCTTCCGCCATCGCAGCCCCTCCGTCGTGACTACAACTCCCTCCCCTGTCGCTACACCTCGCCCCTCCGTCGTGACTATACCCTCCCCTTCCCCATGTCGTTGTAGCCCCCCTCCATCATGACTACACGACACCTCCCTCCCCTGTCGCAGCCTCCGTCGTGACTATACCCTCCCCCTCCCCATGTCGTTGTAGCCCCCTCCATCAACTGTAGATAATAAAACACGCGTCAATATCAGTTATTACGGCACGTGCAACAACAGGATACATCCTAGATAATACAAAATAAATTCCATAATCCTTCTCATAGAAACATCTCTGTGAGGAAAAACACACATAGAACCTAGTTTCCCGATAATTATACCCGACTGACTACACAGATCAACTGTGAGAGGTCAGGAGGGAGGGGAGTCCTGATTCCTAATAACGAAAGGATTTATACCGATCAATAAATTAAGAATCGTGGAACTGGGGCAAGTTGCAATGAAACGGAATCGAATTGGTTAGTTAGCACCCATTCTCCGTCGTCGAAACCCCCCCCCCTCGATGCAGATTACATGCTGAGCAACTATTCAGCGAATCTCAACGTGGTGTTTTAAAGGGCGGGTGGGCCGGCGGACGGGCGGGCAAGAATATTGAATGATGGAGCGCGATGCGACACACGCTCGTAACTCTTCCTGCAGCGGCAACAGGAGAAGTGCGTTAGCGAGGGGAGGGGAGGGGAGGAGGAAAGGAGGGGATGAGGGAGAGAGGGGATGAGGAGGTCCCGCCCGCCCGCCGCCGGTGATTTAGCACGAGAGACAGAGCGCGTATCCACTAATAAACGCTTTATTAGGCCGGGGCCCGTTAACTAACTCTCCATGTGCAACGTCGTTGATCCTCATTCCTGCAATGGCGGCCCGATGAGAGATCCCCCAGTGGGCTGCGACGGCGGAGAAGAGAGGGTGAAGTCACGACGGCGGAGGGAGGGGGTGTAGTCACGACGGCGGAGGGAGGGGGTGTAGTCACGACGGAGGGGGGAGGGTGTAGTCACAACACCTGTATATTAGGGGCACTAATATACAGGTGTTGTCCTATGAGTGACCCTAATATACAGGTGTTGTCCTATGAGTGACCCTAATATACAGGTGTTGTCCTATGAGTGACCCTAATATACAGGTGTTGTCCTATGAGTGCCCCTAATATACAGGTGTTGTCCTATGATGTGTGGTAGTATGAAGTAGTGTAAGGTAGTGTGTGGTAGTGCATTGTAATGTCTGGTAGTGCACTTTGTGTGCATGGTAGCATAAGGTAGAGTGTGGCAGAGCACAGTAATGTGTGGTAGCAAGCAGAAGAAAGCCATCCGTGGTGGAGCCATCATGCGTCACAGCCTGGCGATGAATAATCACACACTCCTAACCCTCGCCCCATGCGCGCGCGCGCGTAATCCCCCAAAAATAATTAACGTCCTAAAGCGAAGAAGACCCACGCGCATTATAATTAGCGCAACATGGCGGCCGCGCGCGACGGTGCTGCCACCGTCGGCCGCGGCTCGCTCATCGTCGCGCGGCGGGTGACGTACCTTTTGTGGCCGACTCTGACCGGCTGCTGGGCTCTGACGTTTCCAGTGTGAACGGTAGTGGACTAACGGACTGGCATCTGCTTCCAGGGCCACTGCTGCAAGAAGCACAGACGAACACCGCGTTAGCACACGTCTGCCTGCTAAACAATACCCTAGTATGATCACACCCACGATGCTTGCGTGCGTGCGTCACGTCTATAGAGGTGTCAGATAACGCAAGGTTGACAGGTAAAACAATAGTGTTAATTAAATCCCCCCGATGCGTGCGTCACGTCTATCATCCCCAGTCACGTTGCCTCTTAGCCGGTATAATGAAATCTGTAATAACACAAACCTTTATACAACGGAAAGGTGTCCATGAAGGACGCTTTGGGAGTTTCCACCGAGTTGCAACTTTAACAGTGAACGCACGTTTATAGCACGGAGCCCAGTTCATATAAAAGGTAACCTTTGTCATGTCTTAGCTATGAGTGACCCTAATATACAGGTGTTGTCCTATGAGTGACCCTAATATACAGGTGTTGTCCTATGAGTGCCCCTAATATACAGGTGTTGTCCTATGAGTGACCCTAATATACAGGTGTAACTGTAGATAATAAAACACGCGTCAATATCAGTTATTACGGCACGTGCAACAACAGGATACATCCTAGATAATACAAAATAAATTCCATAATCCTTCTCATAGAAACATCTCTGTGAGGAAAAACACACATAGAACCTAGTTTCCCGATAATTATACCCGACTGACTACACAGATCAACTGTGAGAGGTCAGGAGGGAGGGGAGTCCTGATTCCTAATAACGAAAGGATTTATACCGATCAATAAATTAAGAATCGTGGAACTGGGGCAAGTTGCAATGAAACGGAATCGAATTGGTTAGTTAGCACCCATTCTCCGTCGTCGAAACCCCCCCCCCTCGATGCAGATTACATGCTGAGCAACTATTCAGCGAATCTCAACGTGGTGTTTTAAAGGGCGGGTGGGCCGGCGGACGGGCGGGCAAGAATATTGAATGATGGAGCGCGATGCGACACACGCTCGTAACTCTTCCTGCAGCGGCAACAGGAGAAGTGCGTTAGCGAGGGGAGGGGAGGGGAGGAGGAAAGGAGGGGAGGAGGGAGAGAGGGGATGAGGAGGTCCCGCCCGCCCGCCGCCGGTGATTTAGCACGAGAGACAGAGCGCGTATCCACTAATAAACGCTTTATTAGGCCGGCCCGTTAACTAACTCTCCATGTGCAACGTCGTTGATCCTCATTCCTGCAATGGCGGCCCGAGGAGAGATCCCCCAGTGGGCTGCGACGGCGGAGAAGAGAGGGTGAAGTCACGACGGCGGAGGCAGGGGGTGTAGTCACGATTGAGGGGGGAGGGGGTGTAGTCACGACGGCGGAGGGAGGGGGTGTAGTCACGACGGCGGAGGGAGGGGGTGTAGTCACGACGGA